ATCTTGGTGTGGAGTACAAAGCAAGGCTCTAACTTGTTTTTTCCTCCTTTGATAGCTAGTTTCCTTGACACTGATTGTTGAAAACCCCTTTAATCTCTGTTAGTTTGGTGTGCTTTCTTTATTATGTGAGATACTAAGTTTGTATGGCCGACTCGACGGCAAATAACAACAACAACAACATGTTAGGACTAATGGTTGTTCTGCTGATCTTTCTTTTGACTCTTAAGTTAATATCACACTCTTTTAATAATGGTAACTCTATAATGTGTTATATCAGGCAAAGCAAGTTCCCTTTCATTACACTGACTTTTCAGAAATTTCTTAGCTCTTTGATCTGTTTTAGAATCATTTGGTCACATTTCAAGATCTGATTTATGATACTGTTTAAATTATTTTAAGCTTTTATATTAACTTGAGAATTAAGGAGCTCAGGTAGCGCAATGGTTAAATCATTCAGCTGCTACCAAAAAATTGGCGGTTTGAACCCACCAGCAGTTCCATAGGAGAAAGATGAGGCAGTCTGCTTCTGTAAAGATTTATAGCCTAGGAAACACGTTAGAGCAGTTCTTTTCTGTCCTATACAGTCACTATGAATCGGAATCTACTTGATGGCAGTGACTTTTGAGGAGAATAATATTCTTACAGTATTTAGCCTCTCCATTTGTGAACTTGGTAGGTACACTTTTCTGTTTTTTAGACCTTCTCTAAATGGGTTTTTGTCATTTTCTTCATATAAATTGTATATATTTCTTGTTAGGATTTATCTAGATATTTTTCTAGCAACATTGCAGTGTGAATGTGAACATGGAATTTTCCCCATGTTTATCTTCATTTGCTTTGCTGGGATGGAATTAAAGCTATTTTCTTCTCTTTTAGACCTGGTGTAATTCTTTGGCTGAGAATTTCTTATTAATTCTATTGTTTTCAGTTGATTGTTTTGAATATTCTAATAGCAAATACCTATCCACATGCATTTTTAGAGACACTCTTCTTTATGTTAAGTCTGGGTTCTTATCACAGAGCTCCTTGCCTCTCCCAAACACGCAGTAGGTGTTCAATGAGTGTCCCTTGAATGAAGGTGAAGGAATCATGATGCTAAGGCCTGCAGTGAATCCTGGCCCTGGCCCTGGCCCTTGATGGAGCACCCCAATTCAGGGTCTGTATCTCCATCTTACCAGATTGTAAGTGGGCTTGGGGCTCAGGGGGACTGATTAAGGCTGACCAGTTCACAGAGGCCTGCTGCCAAATGTCCATTTCCATCCAGAGGGAGAGCAATGGCCGGCTTCCCTAGGGAGACCCCATTTGGGGCAAGGGATGCTTAGAAGTAGGACCCAGGCAGAGGCTAGTGTGTGTATCCCAGAAGGTCTTGCTCTCTCTCCAGCAGGCCACTGAAGGTGTGTCCCTGCAGGCTTGGAGCATTCTTTCTAAGGAAGGGCATCCAACGTCAGACTCAACCCTTCTTCCATGTGTCCAGAGCAGAAAGATGACAACTAGATCTCATTTTCCTCTTTCCTTTATTTCCAGGTGTCATATTTTGTTGTTATTGTTAGTTGCTGTCAAGTCGATTCCAACCCATGGTCACCCCATATGGACAGAATAGAACTGCTCCATAGGGTTTTTAGGACTATGACTTGACTTTTCAGGAACAGATTGCCAGGCCTGTCTTCTGTGGTGACTCTGGGTAGGTTTGAACCACCAACCCATTGGCTAGTAATTGAGTGCTTAATTATTTTCACCACTGACAGACTCCTTCACTAATGTTTAGCAATTCTAATGAATAGTGTCATTGGTGGGCATTAATATTGCAGTCAATTATAGTAGTCATAATCTTTGTTAAAAGGGGTCAGTGGTGGTTCATTGGTAGAATTCTTACCTTCGATGTGGGAGGCTTGGTTGATTCTCAGCTGATGCACCTCACATGCAGCAGTGCCACCTGCTTGTCTGTAGAGGCTTGTGCAGTGCTGTGATGCTGTACAGGTTTCAGCAGAGCTTCGGACTAAGACAGGATAGAGAGAAAGGCCTTGGTGATCTATTTCTGAAAAATCGGCCACTGAAAACCCTTTGGAGATAATTCTATCTGACATTCATAGGCGGGGTTGCCATGGGTCAAAATGGAACCTCTGGCAATTGGTATGGTATGGTATATACCTATAGACCTGGAAGAATGTCTGTGATGGAAGTTAGAGGAGGAAGTTACAAAATAATAAGATAGCATGATCTCATTTTTAAGAACAAACATCAATTTACCACAAAACTGTTTTAGGTACTTGAGCCAATTATTTAAGCCCTGTGTACTTGAGTTCCTTCATCTGAATGAAGATAATAGTAATTCTTATTAACAGGTTTTTTTGTTTCTTTTTTTAATTTTTATTGTGATTTAGGTGAACGTTTACAGAGCAAATTCATCATTTTCCTAACAGCAGTTCATGCACATTTTGTTTCATGACATTGACTGCACTTCCCCACAATGTAACAGCTCTCTTCCCCCTTCTTCCTGGTAGTTAACCTCTTCCCTGTGTCCTTCCCCACCAGCTGTCTCCTTGTGCATACACTGCCCTTCTCTTCTCCTTTGTTTGATCTCTCCAAGGAGTGTATCATCCACCTGATGTAAATGTTCGGCCCAAAAGCCTCTCTTTTATTTGGCTGGAAGTAACAGAATTTTTTGTTTTTTAAAATTGTGATTTGGATGAAAGTTTACAGAGCAAATTCACTTTTCATGTAGCAGTTCACATACACTGTGTCATGACATTGACTACAATTTACCACAATGCAACAGCTCCCCTCCCACTTCTTCACGATAGTTACCTCTGCCCTGTGTCCATCCCTCCATGCACTCCTCCCCCCGAGCTGTCTCCCTGTGCATAAACAGCCCTTCTTTCTTCCATGATTGTTCTCTCCAAGGAGTGTATCTACCTCAGGTAAATGTTCAACTCATATACCTGTCTTTTGTTTGACTGGAAGCCATAGGTGTGGGTTCAATTCCAGACCTGAAGGGCAGCTAGGGGCCACAATCTCAGTGGTTCCACCAGGCTCTATCGGACCAGCAAACCTGGTCACCCTCTTTTTTTTTCCCAAATGATTTAGACTTTTTGACTTTTGTTCCATATTGTTCTCCCTTTCTATCCAGGATCTCCTACATAGATCCCCCCACACACACCAGTGGTTGACAGTGGTAGCCAGCCACCATCTAGTTCTTCTGGTCTCATAATCATATAGGTTACGGATTGCATGGTGTACCAGTCACTAGGACTAATTGTTTCCATGAATCATTGGTTTTCTTCATTCTTCTTTGCCCTGGTTGAGGAGAGACCCATTGTTGCATCTAGATGTCTGCTTGCAAGCTTTTAAGATCCCAGTCGCTACTTGCCAAAGTAGGAGGTGGAACAGTGTTTTGTGTAGTATGTTATGCCAATTGAGCTTGATGTTCCCTGCGACTATGGTCCTGAGCCCACAGGTTCAACTACTCGTTCCCTCTGGGTAGCTGGCTGTGACCAAGAAGTGACTACAACCTTGTCCCTTGTCAGTTCTACTATACAACAGGCTTTAAAAAAA